AAGAATGATGTGATTGACATGACCCATTCCATTAGCTTAGCACCCGATCGTTTAGTATGTTGCTATTGCTTTCTTCATGACTTATACATGTTCCTATGACTATGAGATTATGCAACTCCCATTTACCGAAGGAACACTTTGTGTGCTACAAAACGTCACAACGTAACTGGGTGATTATAAAGGAGCTCTACAGGTGTCTCCAAAGGTGAATGTTGGGTTGGCATATTTCGAGATTAGGATTTGTCACTCCGATTGTCGGAGAGGTATCTCTGGGCCCTCTCGGTAATGCACAACACATAAGCCTTGCAAGCATTACAACTAATGAGTTAGTTGCAAGATGATGTATTACGAAATGAGTAAAGAGACTTGCCAGTAACGAGATTGAACTAGGTATTGAGATACCGACGATCGAATCTCGGGCAAGTAACATACCGATGACAAAGGGAACAACGTATGTTGTTATGCGGTCTGACCGATAAAGATCTTCGTAGAATATGTAGGAGCCAATATGAGCATCCAGGTTCCGCTATTGGTTATTAACCGGAGACGTGTCTCGGTCATGTCTACATTGTTCTCGAACCCGTAGGGTCCGCACGCTTAAGGTTTCGATGATAGTTATATTATGAGTTTATGAGTTTTGATGTACCGAAGTTAGTTCGGAGTCCCGGATGTGATCACGGACATGACGAGGAGTCTCGAAATGGTCGAGACATAAAGATTGATATATTGGACGGCTATATTCGAACACCGGAAGTGTTCCGGGTGATTTCGGAGAAAACCGGAGAGCCGGAGGGTTACCGGAACCCCCCGGGAGAAGTAATGGGCCATATGGGCCTTAGTGGAGAGAGAGAGGGGCAGCCAAAGGTGGGCCGCACGCCTCCTCCCCCCTGGTCCGAATTGGACTAGGAGAGGGAGGGCGGCGCCTCCCTTTCCTTCTCCCTCCCCACTTCTTTCCCCCTCCTAGTAGGAGTCCTACTCCTACTAGGAGGAGGACTCCTCCTTGGTGCACCATAGGGGCCGGCCGGCCTCCTCCCCTTGATCCTTTATATACGGGGGCAGGGGGCACCCCTAGACACACAAGTTGATCCTCGTGATCGTTTTCTTAGCCGTGTGCGGTGCCCCCTTCCACCATACTCCTCGATAATATTGTAGCGGTGCTTAGGCGAAGCCCTGCGACGGTAGAACATCAAGACCGTCACCACGCCGTCGTGCTGACGGAACTCTACCCCGACACTTTGCTGGATCGGAGTCCGGGGATCGTCATCGAGCTGAACATGTGCTAAAACTCGGAGGTGCCGTAGTTTCGGTGCTTGATCGGTCGGGCCGTGAAGACGTACGACTACATCAACCGCGTTGTGCTAACGCTTCCGCTGTCGGTCTACAAGGGTACGTAGATCACACTCTCCCCTCTCGTTGCTATGCATCACCATGATCTTGCGTGTGCGTAGGAAATTTTTTGAAATTACTACGTTCCCCAACACTATACATATACAAGAGTAATAAGAAAGGTTAACTATGAACCAGAGCTAACAAAAGTGAAGATATTTTTCAAGCAGGGGGCAGCAATTTATAATCCCATAGGAGTAATTGGCTTTGAAAAATTAAGCGACCACATTCTTGATTTCCCAATGTAACATAAGCAGTGCATAAATTGAATTATTCGGTGGTGAACATTTTGCTATAAATGTTGACTAAATTTAGAAATGTCAAATTTCTCTATGTACAAAAACTGGGGTTAGCTGAATGTGTGTGTTAATGAGGAATGTCAAAATTTAGTGATCAATCTGGAGTACAGTAGTAGCATAAATCTGGAATTAACTGAATGTGTGTGTACCTGCAGTAGCATCAATCTGTAAAAAAACCGGAGTTAACTGAATGTGTGTGTTTCCATACCACTGTGTTGTTACCGAATATCCGAAATTCCTAAAAAAGCCATAGTCAAATTTTAGTTAACTGTGAAGTGAAGTGTTCAGTGTTCAAAACTGTTGTTTCTAGTTAGTTTAGTAAACTTGCTATTTCTAGTTCGATTGGAAACAAAATGATGCAAAAGCAAAGACTACCTGAACTCAGGAATACTCCATTGATTTTCTGAATGATGATGCAACAACACGTGTGTGAATCTCCATTGAATTCAGGTGCTTGAAAAACAGTGGCTATAAGAAGCGGTGTTCAATTTACGTGGAATATATTGAACTCGTGAATATATTTTGAATGAATGATTTTGCATTTAGGAATGCAGAGTCCCATCTTATTGCAAAGGTAATATCAATAGCCACTGATAGAAAAAATACATGAATCACTTATGTAGACTATACAGTGCAGTACTCCATCTGACTAATCAAGTGAGTGTTCCATCTATTTCACCCTAAGATGAAAAGCAATCAGTTTTTAGAAATACTCTACCTGTTAAGGGCAAGGGCAGTAACCTCACAAGGCAATAACTAATTAATAATCTTGGTTGCAATTACCATGGGATACAATCAAGATCTGAGCCATGTGCCCTAATTAACTCTCTTTGTTTTGAAACTGAAACTGCAATCACATAAATGTCTGAACCTTGCAAACCAAACTACGACATGAGTAGATGATTAACTGCAACCCTGCAAGGCACTTGTGTTCATGTAGCAACACAAAATATATGCAGGCACATGTACAGTAGCAAAAAAGTTTCACCATTCCACATGTCCAGTAGTGAAAACCTCTCTTTGTCCGACGATGTGCAACCACTCAATCCTGTCAACTTGTTCCTCTTGTCACATAAATTCTCACCTTTGGTCTGTCTTCGTGGGAGCCGGCAGTGGTGCCTGCTGGGCGGCGAAGGCGGGGATGGATGTTGGCGAGGGAAAGTGGAGAGCTTCTGCATCGGACGAGGTTGGCGGCGAGGTGAAGGTTCTGGCGACGACCGGCTCCATGGACAAGGTTGACAGCGAGGTGGACGAGGTTGATGGCGAGGCGAACGAGGTTGACGACGGGCAGGGCCAGTTCCGGCTCACCACCATCGGGGAAGGGTGCGTCCGGTGGACAACATATAGAAAAAATTGAGCCTTATCCTCGTCCGGGGAAGCAACACGGTGGAGGAGGGTGAGCTCCAGCGATGCCCGGGGAAGCTGCGCGGGAAGCCAAGCAGGAGAGCTTCGGTGCGGGGAGCCAAGTAGGGGAGCCCTGGCGCCGGAGACAAGCTGGGGAGAAGTGCGGGGGAGGCGAGCAGGGGGGAGTGTCATTTGTCGGGAATTCACTGAGGGGGGTTTCATAAAATGACCACGGGGACATCTTTTTCGGATGGAGGGAGTATTTATTTATACTAAACTTTTGCATTTATTAAGAACTTATTTTTTTGATATACAATCTTAAACATTAATATTTTCTATCATATTAGTTAAATTAACCACATAACAATGTGGCCACATCATAAGATACAAGGTTTATTATGTGTACTGCCAATATTGAAAATTGCACTAATATTATTTTAAGGCATACATTACAAATAAGATGGTGCCTTTTATTTTGTTTAGAGACATTGTCTGTTTTTAAACCGGATTTTTCTAGATGAGGGGAAATAGAAAATAAAATAAAATCACATGTCTTTACAGATAAATGTGTTCAACTTAGATGAATTGTATCTATATGTATTTGTTTGTATCTATTTTAGCATCCTTAAATATTATAGCAGAAAGTACTAAAGTTGATAGAGGTTACTAGAGTGCATGGTTTAAATTGTAAGTAATTAAAAGGATAATGTTAGAGTAAACAAAATATCTACAAGGGTCTATTCTCGAATTTGTCGGCGTTGCTTATTATTGGGTTTTTCCTGGGTTCAACGATCTGTCGTCATCACATGCATTTGTTCTTAGCACCATTCAACTTGTATTGAATGCCTCCAATTTTGTTTCTACGTTTGATATGTAGTGTTCATACTCGACACTTAGTAGAATAGAATAGTATTATTTGCAAGGAAATTTGTACATGCTGGTTTTTTCATGGTTCAATCTGCAATCTGCATACGAATGTGCAATCCATCCCCATAAGTAAGTGACGTGTATTCCTCACCTTAACTCACTCAAAATCAACACAACTCATCATAAACACATATGTAGTTACGCAAACCTGTTGATATGATTGCTCAGTAGCTTAATGATTGGATGATTTTGTAGAAAAAAACCTAAAACAAGAAACTATGAGGTGGGGAGTACAAATGTTCAAAATGATGGCAAGTGAAGTCTTCAAACTGGTGCATGACTGGAGGATGGGGGGCAACAGAATCATGGCGAGTTGAAGCTTCTATTTTCTTTTTCCCTACTCTGTCTATCCTAATGAGTTGCTGCTTTGTACTCCACTATGCTCTTTGGGTACTTGTTGATCATTGTAATATAGCCTATATGTCGTAGCTGCTTTGTTGTTTAGTCTTCGGTGAACTGCCTAGTTACCTTCTGTGAACAGTTATGTCTTAAGGTCTGAGATGTGAAAACCCAGGAGTTGCAGTTCATGCATCGTTCCTTTTTAGATTGTATGCTTTAGCTGTCGTTTGTAACACAACATGGTTTCAGTTAAATGAAATCATAGAGGGAGCTCTCCTTAAAAAAATGGAAACCCGGTAGAAGATAACAAATGATAAGACGGTGGTTGAAGTATGCAGAGGTCGCCGAAGTTGTTACTGGCGAGTGGCCATTTATTGTTCTGGTCAACTGGTAATGGCCTAACAAACCTTCTCTTTCGTTGAAGGTTATATCGGTGACCGCATTTCTCCTTTGTTGACTAGGAACATATATATACTTGACAAAATACCGATCCTCACAACAAATGTTGGTGTCAACTCCCGGCCTTTGCATCCTGAAAACGATGCACGCGGCCGAAGCTTACTCCTTTGTGATTGGAGAATACATAGGTTTTGAAGAAAAGAACAAGCTAATATGAGAAGGGATGCCTGGGAAATAGAGGGTTGGTCATTGGAGAAAATGGTCTCCTGTCGCTGCATATCACACAGCGATCAACCAGCCCGTACATTAGCATGGTTGGGGTGGCATCCAGAGCTGGGCGAGCTTGACCTTGGAGACACTCTGCAGCACTTCCAGCGGCGTCACATCGCCAGTCACCACCACCTTCTTGTGCTCCAGATCCACCTCGAACCACGTCACCCCTGCAGCACAAACAGCATGCTCTAAATTTTATAACAAGCCAAAGCGCACACCATAAACCTTGCCAAGAAAAAAATGGAGAATCAAAACCAACAACAGCAGAAAACTGCCAGTGTTACGTGATTTCCGCATTTGTATTCAAAAAGGAAACTTGATTCTGTTTTCCCCCTTCTCTACCCAACTTTTTTGAAAAGGAAAAAAAAACTGTTCTGAAAGTGACCTTGGTGGTGAGAGGGCAGCAGAGCTGCAGCAAACTAGGTGGACGTGTGCAACAAATTTCCCATGATAGTAAAAAAGATGCCCTGATACATGTTGCTTCTGTTTTTATTAGGGAAAAAATCGTTTTCCTGTTGCCAATCATTCACTCTGAGAAAGCTTTGCACCTTTTTGTTCCGTGGACTACAAATTTCCGTCATGCGCGGAAAGGTTGTTGGTTGGTTCAGCTCGTTTACATGTGCACGCACGCTCTGCCAATTCGGATAGTAGAACAAACTGAAAATGAAAGACCTGGAGCTGATGAATATTTACAGAGTTTTTGCTGCTTGTGCGAGCAACTCTGCAACAATTGATAATTTTCATTTTTTTACTGGTAAAAAGCACATGAAAAGAACAAAGATTTTGTAACAAGGACGGGTAAAGAAAAGGTAAAAAGAAAACATGAGGCATCTTCCATGGCGCATGATTCGGGCCATCGCAGCAGCACACGCATGTGGCGAAAGGCAAGCCTGAGGCCACCCCTGTCGCCCAACGGAACGACACCTGCGGCCGATAATCAAGATCCAAAGTGGACTACATGGCAGTGGCAATAAGGCTGGTCATAGTGGGAGTAACTTAGTTAGTAACATAGCGCAGTCCAAGACAAGTTTGCTTATGTGGCATGTATTTAATGAGGAGAGATGTGTTTAGAGTAACATAATATGTTACTGTAACATAGCGCTTTCCAAAAGAGAATGAGTCTACAAACTAATAAATGAAGCCAACTATGACACTACTATTATGTTATTTTGCACTATGAAGGTGGTAACTTAGACTAGTGTCATGCATATGACACTAGTCTAAGTTAATCTCCACTATGACCAGCCTAACGTAGATGTACAAAACGCGGTGGAGTTAATGCAAACGCCACCCCTCGCAAAAAAAAATGTAACTATTTTTCAACAGAGCACTCTGTTTTTCAACCCCCAACTCTTGTCAACCTTTTGCCTTACATAAACAGAGTAACTTTGCCCTAAATGAGGGAAGGAAGGAAGGATCATCATGATGTAAGAGTTGGTGTTGGTGTTACCTTCCATCTTTGAGATGTGCTTGTGAACTTTCTTGGCGCAGCCGTAGCAGTGCATGGACACCCTCAGCTCCACCGTCTACGTACACTCACCACACCAACAAACATGTCAAAAAAAACTCGAGACCAAGAGAAGAAGAAGGAGCATATCGGAGAAGGTAGAAGATGCATGGATGAATCATGCTGCATAGTGCATACCTTGGGCTGCAGATGGAAGCCCAGCGTCCTTGACGACGACGTGCGCTCGACGATGAGGTCGCTGAGCCTCACCACCTGGCTGCTCCCGCTCACCAGGGCCTTCCGCTCCTCCACCTCATCCCCCAGCACCCGCGCGCAAAGGCAGCCGCAGCCGGCGCCGGCCCCGGCGCCCACGCACGCGGCGAAGCAGTTGAGCACCCTGCCGCCCATGCGCCACAGCCGCCGCCTCATCGCCATTCAGCTCGCCCGTGCCACTCTCACGCTCACCTGGGAGAGAGTGGCCGGAGCCGCTGGTTAAAAAGGGCAGCCGGCTGCGGTGAGGGCTCTGGCGTCAAGATCGGCTGGGATCGGCTAAGATCTATCGAGTAATGTCCATGATCAATGATGGATACGGTACAAGTGTACTGACTGTCATGGGATGGGAGGGAGGGGGTCGATCGGCGAGGCTGGTACGTTGGGGCCGGCCGGCCGGCTACTCCTAGATAGGAATAGTATTAGACCTACCGTGCATGTGTACGTGCTCGCTGGGTGCGCGGCGCTGCCAATTAATATATATCTCGGCACGTTACATGCGGACCATGGCCGCCGGCCGGCCGGCTGTTAATTACCCGCCAAAGTTTTAGTTTTTTAGCCCCCCACCGTTTTTATTCGCTCTGCATGTTAGCTTTGTCTGAAGTGAACTGTGTAAACTTCGACCAGGTTTATAGAAAAAAGAAACTTATTGATATCTACAATAGCAAAACCAATATCATTAGATTCTTCATTGAATATATTTTCACATATCGTATCATATACATATTCGTTGTTGTGAACGAATGTTCATACTGTTTTGTTAATAGCTTGGTCAAACATTTTAAAGTTTCGGTTGGTACAAATCTCGTACTTCCGTCTCTCGCCGTCTTAAAATAAGTGTCTCAACTTTAGTACTCCTTCTTGTAAAGTACATACTATTTTGGGACAGAGGGAGTACGTACTATTTTGTCATTACATCCTAAGGATCACTGTATTTCACTGCCCGTTTGTTGATGAGGTTCGCACTTGATCCACCCAAGGATGTGTTTTTTTTAAAAAAAGAAGGATTATCCCCGGCCTCTGCATCTGGGCGATGCATGCAGTCATTTTATTAATTATTATCAGAGACCTTATAAAGCATTACATCAGTAAGCTTGAAGCCACCATCTAGGCGACACCTGTCGCTACTCCTATCCCCTTGATGCAGGGGTGCCGAATGTCTGAGCCTAATACCAAACCGACATCGCACCAAAGTCTAACATCTAATGCCGGACGCCCCATCCCAGCCACATGCTGGGAATGGGTCACACACCGGTTCGGCGCACTCACCGAGGCTACCGCCGCCGTCATTCACCTAACCATCTTCAGAGCGGGTACTGACGCAAAGACCTTGTCAGGTCAGCTGTCAACGCCACCATGGCGCCAGACAGTGCCACCGCCCTGCGTGAGGCCACCACGCCACGTCCAGCGCCGAGACCCCGCTGCTCCATGCCGCCGAGACCCGCCGCCGTCGACGCGAGAGAAGGCACGCAACACCACTCATGCCTCTTCCATCCGGCGCCGCTCCACAAACAACGCCCCCAATAGGGAACACGACACCGCAGCGCCGCCATCGTCCGATCCGATGATCTTAGGATTTCTCCCGGAGTGGGACGAGCAGGTTGACGATAATTGCTTGACGATGCCTTCATCAAGATAACGACGTAGACGCCGCCATCGCTGAGTCGGCTCGGTTTTCACCGGCGACTATGTCTCCCAAACTCGCCGCTGGTGCTAATAGTGGGATTCAAAATCCATCACTACCAGCCTGACCAACCGCCTTCGGTGGAGAAGGCAGCCACCACCACCATGCCCCGGCCAAGAGACCCGGACATCCTCGTGCCGCGAAGATTACCCAAGAATGTGCTACATGTGAAATGTTCTTCCGGTTTTGTCTCGTGTAAATAGGGGGACAAGTTGCCGGGCTCTCCATGTGACAATGTGCACGGCAAGCACTAGTGAGTATGTACTGAGTAGTGACACCAACAGTGGAATCACACCTCTAAAAGAGAGCATGTGGTGTACAGTAATCAATCGATCATAGCCTATAGCGGCCTATCTGGCGATGCAATATTGGGAAGATGCATGCACGGGTGTGCTAGATGCCAATGTCATGGGAGAAAAGCTTAATCATTTGCTCCAAAGAGCAATAAAATAGTAAAATCTCGCTGCCAATGGATGGCTCGATCACTGGATGATTGTCCCATAGCTAGCTAGCCTTGCAAAGATTCTGAGCTGCATGTTTCTACAGTTTCGAAAGCAAGACAACTTGCTGTCTACTCAGAGTATATATTATGGGAGGGAGCAGTTGTATTTTTCTTTTTGGTGTGTGAAACTAGAAGATAAAGACAAGGATACCGAAAATCCATCTTTGCACCTGAGCTCATCTGCACCCATACTGACAAAAAAATCAAAACAAATACAAGAAAAATCCAAAAAAATCTCCCAAAAATATTTGTGCGGTAGATAATTCGGTGCGTGAGGTCCGCTCCAATTTTCACATCATTTGAACATCTGAGGAGCTCTTAGCAAAAAAGACAAATTAGAGGTCTACTATTTATGTATTGTTTTGGCTCGATTTGTTTTTTTTGCTGAGAGCTCCTCAGATGTCCAAATGACTTGAAATTTGGAGCAAGCCTCACGCATCAAGTTATCTACCGCACAAAAAAATTGAAATTTTTTGAATTTGTTTTGATTTTTTTTACAAAAAAAGTTTTAACCGGGTGCAAACGAGCCTGGGCACCGAAACGCCCTACTCGATACAAGGATGCCTGCATGAGTGAGGGTTGGTGCAGGCGGATCAGCATATTGGATACGACCGAATTGGTGCACTGCACGGAGATACGGCACGGGATTTTCCGCATAGGAGTAGCATGGATTGGGTGCTCGATAGTAATTCCTCTCACTCTCAGGGAAGACAGTGGTTTACAGTGTACCATCAGCTGGTGGTGGAATAAATGCCTAACTGTAAAGGCAGGACTGGGAGTGTAGAATCTATGCTTTGCATTTACTTTCTTGGACCATGCGTGCACGTACTCTACATCGGCAACCTTTGCTACATGCACAGGGGACAATGCTTGGCAAGAGTTCATGGTGTCGTTTCTGTAGTTAAATTGTTGATGCTGTAGGTACAATTGAAATGTCACCGAGAGCTCGAATAAAATGTTGCTAAAATACAGAGTAATGATTTGTTCATATAGTGTACACATATGCATACGAGGTAATCTCACCATTTCTACACAAGAGGTGAGCCCAACCAAATCCATCTCTCAAACCAAACACTGACCCAAGCACACGAACGGAACCAACCTGTTCCAGCGGCGTGGAACCATGACCATTCTATTACACTTCGTTCCCCAACCAAACACGACCCCAAGAATCTCGCCTCCCGCCATCGGCAGTCTTACGTGATAGAGCAACAGAACCGCTGGCAGCGACCCATCAGAATAATCACTGCGAGTGATTATAGTGATACGGACAGCTTCAACAGTCAACCTGCAAAGGAGCCGTGTAAGGTTTGTTAACAATCATGAGCAGTGTAATGTCCATGTGGGCAATATATATCGCTAACCGCATCTTCCAGTTCAAGGCTACAAGAAAGATATAAACATCTGCTTGTACACATAATGCAATGTACTCATGAACCAGTTTAGAGCAATATCACAAGGTTCAATTATTTCTATATGAATAAGAGAACGTAGATTTAAGGGGCAAAGGACAAAATTGCCCAGGATTTAGAAATACAGTCTCAAATGTACAGTTGCTCTAAAAAAAGGTTCAAGTTATCTCTAAGATTCAAGTGCCTCCTTTTGTAGGAATAGCTTAAAAAACGTTACAATGAAGCCCAAAAAAGTGAGAATCAACATGGCTAATTGCCGGGACCAAATTGTCAACAGGCTTCCTAATTTAACTTCTAAAGCGTAGACCAATAAAAAGATATGGAATACGACCAGGAGAACCTACATCTATCGGCACACCTAGTGGACCCTGTAACCAATGACAGGCAAATAATTTTCATAATCTCAAGGCTCAGGTGAAAGGGCAGTAGCACAGGTCATCACCAGTTCATATAAACAAACATAAAATGGAAGGGAACAAAAATGGCTGGCATGCACCATGTATTGTACACATGTACCTGACATCTTTTGGATACTAAATAACCCAAAGTGCACAGAGCAGACACTGAAGTGCTTCAGCTACTCAGTAAGACCTTGTTGAGATAACAAGTCTTGCCCAAATCTTGCAAAGACCCAAAGCTCATGAAGTGCTTGTTAACATCATCCTATGGTCACTGGCCAAGGTTCATCTGCGAGTATCTGTAACAAGACATGACATGATATCAACACATGGTGCTATTATGAGAAAGCATACAGTGGACGGAATGGATATGTTTTTTTAACAATACCGGCGAGGTTTATTTTGGCGTTGACTAGGCTCATCATTTACAACTTCTGCAAAAGGGGCAAATGTGTCAAAACATTCCTAGTTTTCTAGGATCACAAAAGAGAGCAGAAACTTCTAATAAAATATCTGAAATTAAACACAGGTAAAATAACAAGGTAGAGATACGATATTGAAAAGGGAACCAAGCTGTTTTACCTGTTATTTGTGGGGGCTTCAACTGAGACGGCGCATTACTTGCACTAGGTTCTCTGTAGAGCAGCAAATAACAGAAAACCAGAATTATTCATCCTTGTTTCATTCAATGAAGTTTGATAGTGACAGAGAAAAAGTTTAATATATAATGAGATCCGACTGGTCAGTCAGTACTCAGTACTATTCGTAGACAAAGCAAGCAGACACATTGATGGGGTAAATTGACATAATACAAGTCCTAAGGCCAACTAAGTTGCTTAAAAAATAATGCATAGTTTATCACTGTTGTGAACATGCTGGTGACCTTTGCAGCTTTTGCTGTCAAGCTTTAACCCTGTCACAAAACTAGCAGGACTGTTGTTCTATGCAAAAAGAGGATGAACTCATCATAATTAAACTGATGTAACTCATCTCAAAAGTATGTACGACTACAGCTGCAATATAAGAACTCTAAAAGCCCTGCAATGCATCATGTTATAGTACTGGATCGACATACCTAGGATTAACTGAAGAAGATGCCTGCTCAGAAGGTCGGGAATAATAGCTTCCATCCATGGCAAAATAAGGTGAGCCATAAGTTGCTCCTAAACCTCCAGCGGAACCGGACAATATTGGCAGCCTGATTTCAGTCAGATGCGCCCAAACAAATAATTAGACAAGCTAACTATGAATGCCATATTCATCAAATAAATAAATGCTACATCGATAAGCCAGTCTGCGGAAGTAGTATGCAGCCATGTAATACCGATCAAAATTGCATATTAATGACTATGAAACATCATCATGGCGCAGACAACAGTAGTGCACCAGCATCGTACTAGACTGAGATGCAGAAAAAAAAGAGGATAATTAACTCCTTACCAAGCCATCTCAGAATTGCTGACGCCATGTTGTTGCTGAGACACAAATCCTGGTAAAGCCATACCGATTGAAGGAACACCAGGCACACCTGGATGCTGGCCTCCAAACTGCATAACTGTATGATAGAAAACAGTTACAACTTTACTAGTATCATTAATTACTTATTTTTCATATATATTATCATTAAGTACTCATTTTATTAAATTGCAATTTCACAGTGTTAAACTTACAAACCTGGAAAGAGTGCGGGGGTGCCATGGAAACCTTTGTCACCAAGTGAAAGGCCTCCTGTAGCTCCGAGAACATGACCTCCACCATAGGGAAAAGAAGCACGCTCTTCTCCCTGGTCACCAGGTTGCCCATTCACCGTCAATCGAGTAACAGCTTCATTTGATCCATTAGGTGAAGAAACACCAGTGTCTTCAGTCAAATCTGTAGGCGTAGGTTGTGTGAAAGATGGCATTCGACCACTACTACCAAATTGTGCACCCAACATCTGGGTTGGCATCCTTAGTGTGGATTGGGTATTTGATGATGATGGAGATGACTGTATATTTGTGCCCTTCGGTACGAAAGCCTTCCCTCTCAACAGGGGGGCATTTTGTGGGGTTGGAGAAACATGTTCCATACCAATGGGGGGTGAGAAGGGTCTACTAGTGGTACTAGGTTGTGCATTCCCCCTTTGACCAATCAGTTGTTCCTGGTGGGACGGCCTTGAAGGGTAAAATGGCGGCGAGGCTGAATTCAAGTTTGATGCAAAGGATTGCTTATTAGGAAAACCTTGCTCAGGCTGAGAATTTGAATTCTGAGGTTGGTGTTTCCCCAAATTTGCATTTGATAAAGCATTTTCAGGTTTCTGTGATCTGAAATATGATTGAAAAACAAACATGCTGCTGTTAGTTCTCTATCAAAACAAATGTGCAAAGATTGAATAAAAATAAACCTTCCACTCACTTATCATTTTGCTCTGAAGATATCTCAGTAGTACTGCGACGTGGTTGGTAACGTCTAGAGCCTCTGCCACGAATTACGCTTGGTGTGGCCTTACGACTTCTGGAACCGTCATTATAAGTGTGAGATTCTTTTGGAACCACATCAAAGTTATCAACATCATCATTGCGAGCATGAGACGATTTAGGAGCTCTGTTCTTCCTGTGCTCACGCAGGACTGGTCCAGCATTTTTTGTATTATCAAGGGAAACTAGAGATCCCTTTGGAACATAGCTGTAGTTCTGGTTACCATCATGATTATGCGCTCGAGACCTGTTGCCTCTGAAATTACCACGGCCAACACCACGAGTCCTACCGCCAGGTCCACCAACACGCCCTCCAGAGCGGCCCCTTGGATTTCTCATCTGAAAGCACAATTGACAAAAAAAAAGCATATTGGTAAGGAAACATGCATCAGCAGTTCAATGCATAGTAGAAAATAAGATAGCATAGTAGTCAGTTACTCACATTGCCATTATGATAACCACGTGGATGCATCTCATCAAATCTGTCATGGACCCAAGCTTCCTCCTCTTTAGGATTCCACAAGTTCCTATTACTCAGTGTTCTCCTAAATTGAGAATATGGATAGATTAGAAAGCAGTTGAAACCTGGATAATGTAATCATAATACAGATTAAGCATCATTAGGCCTTGTACAATGCAAGGTGCTTAGAGAAATAAACCAGGTTTTTCTTAAGCACCGGTGTTTATTTGTACAGGGGTAGACGCTTAATTAGGCATCTCTCCTGTAGAAATAGGCACCGGTGCTTCAGAAAAAACCCGGTTTATATTTTTCTAAGCACCTACCATTGTACAATACCTTAGTACCTGCATTATC